AACAGAGACCACATATAGGAACTCTCACTGAACCACACCATTACTCATTGCCTTCAATGTTGTCGTGGCTGCTCAACCCAGGACAAATGTACAACAAAATTCATAAATTTCCATAGCAACAGAGATATGGAAAAGCCTTATGGGACAAAAAAAGACTAATTCCCCTGAAGGTGAAATGGAGAAGGGCACATCTATTCTCTAGAAATGAGGCATCAGTGTGGCCCTGAGTTATACAGGGAAGGTTTGAGTGCCAAGATCCATACAAGTGGCCACTTTAGAGAACAATTCAGACTACCCAGAGAGAATAATAACTGTGTTGTGCTAAGCCTGTGAAATTACCAAGAATAGGCAAAAACTGCAGAGGGTCTACAAAAATGTTTCACCGAAAGGACACGTTTCATGGTGCACACTTTGTGCTCAACTAAAAGCTCTGTCCAATTGAAATGTTCTGACCATGGAGAGGGGTAAAAAGTGAAGGTATTACAATACTGCATGAAAATCAATAGTGCATGTTCCACTGTAATGCTTCCCCGTTCTTCTCAACTTTATGTTTGTACAAGTATGTTTGAAAAAACATGGGCATTGAAGTTAGTAGGGGTCTTTGAAAGTCTTAGAGGTGAAGAGACTAAAAAGCTCGGGAACGTTAAAGGTATAAAAGATGGAGGTACACAAACTTATTTGTGGTACGTATGGAGAAGGTAAGTAAGACATTCCCCTTTACTCAGTTTTGCAACAGAAAAATAGCCTTGTTTCCTTGTACAAAGGCCACACAAAAGGGCTATTTTTATTAGAATACCAAATTAACTCCCTGCCATGGAATACCACTGATGCCAGTAGCCTGCTGGACTGGGAACAAGTACAGACTATCACATGGATGAGACTGGCTGCATTAGGCAGGAAAAATAAAGTATATAAATCCTCATGCCTCAGGATATAAACCATTGCAGGCAAGACTTTAGGAACAAGCTTCCTCTAGATGTAGATTATCCCGTAATTGTCTGTTGTAGGATTTGCTGTAGCTGCCCTTGCACCATATGGTATTTGTCAGCATCTGAGAACAACGAGGAGCACCGTTCTCCTCCTGCACCGTAGTTTCTCTCAGAGCTCTACCTGTGTTCAAGCAGTGTGCAGATGAAAGCATGCTGCGTGGTCAGGCACAGGCAGCTGTGCTACCATCCCCCTGCCACAAGCCACCAGACACAAGCCACCTCGTGTCTGGAAGCCACCAGACTGTTGGAGGCACACAGCTCAAGTGAGCAGGCCCCACTGGAGTACAGGACTGTCCACATTTGACCATGCAAACACAGAGCAAAAGCATGTGTTCTGGCCGCCATATGGCACACACCATTTAATGGGGCATTCCTGATTAACTGAGATGTTAGCTTCATGAGTATGATACCGTATCATCTGCACACTGGGTTTTCCACCCCAAGAAGTGGTCATAAGAACACAATGAAGAAAGCTCTCAAATGTCGCTATTATTTTGAGCACCATTCCCTTAGGGCTTTGTAGACACCAGAGCTAATCTTTAGCTAGAGAATATTACGTAGCTTGATCCATTTTTGCCCTTTGCAGCTCTAGCAATAGCCTGCTCATGAACAGGATTCTGGAGAGTAAAAGCTCTGCTATTTGCTTTCATCAAAACTGAATAGCATTACCCAAATCAGCCAAAAACATGGCCCATTCAGGCGAGCCTGTGGGGGAGGGAGATGCTGCGAATAGCCCAGCCAAAACACTTGTGGGGGAGTTGACCTGAAAGGGATTTTTTATGCTATTCTAACGTTATTTACGGTAACGCAGTCCCCTACAGACAGGGCATTGTTTGCCCTTGACAAACAGCCCGACAGTTCCCCAAAGCACCCGCCTGGACAATGGGGCAGGGGCACGTGGCAGGGCCAAGCAGGACCTCCGCCGCCCCAACACCATCCCTCGGCAGCCAGCTGGCAGGGCCTGTGGATTCCTCCAACACAGAGGGTGCCACTGTTAGCGCAGGGTGTCACACGTACACAACTGAGCTCACCGGCAGGAACCGAACTAAGCCCAGCCAGAACTTACTACCAGCCTCCTACATTTGGTGTCTCGATGCAGGTGGCTCAAACAGGCTATGAGGTGCAGGAGGAGAGACAACCTGCAGTCATGATGTCCTGAACTAACCTGCCCCACACAGGCACAGACTCGAAACACGCACCTAGCAGAGGGGTTACAGCACCTGAAACAAACCCAGCACGCTGGGATGCCACAGCACACCTGAACACTAAGAAGAAAAGCAAGATTGCATACATTACTGTTTACCCTTTGTAGCTTTTCAAACTAGTACAAGACTTCCTTTTATTTTTCTTTTACAGATAGAATACAACAGAGCTTCCATGAGCAATCCTACCTGGATACCAGCTTCAGCAGCAAAGCCAGACTAAAACCCAAGAATGGAATTCATTGCTTCACCACCTCCCTAGGCAAGTCCTGCCATAAAAGTGAGTTTTTGAATGAGATTTTGGGATGGGTTGATCTAAGAGTGGGCAACCAGAGAACCAGGAGGCGTGATCACCAGGTGGTTAAGAGGCAGCTGGGAACACACTGAGCTGAAATACATGCACGTTACCACGCAAATACCACAGAAATGTGTTAAAGCATTAGCACTGCTTGGTTCTGCCTATATAGAGGCAAGTTTTCTCTTACAAATGATGTAAGAGCAGCAGAACAAGGTTTTTTAAAAAGCAAGACTGCAGAAACAGCCTTTTCTAGCCATTCCCAAGCACAACTGCCAATTACACAAGGCCTTCAGGTGTCTGTAGGCTGATGCTGGAAGGCCAACTTGAGTTCAGATCCCAATAATATTGAGTTGAGAGACTTCTGATGCTATTTTATCTCTGTACGCTTACTTTGGAATCCTTTGGGAGCTCAGAGAGAAATAAAAAGCCCTTATTCAGCTAGGTGGGGAATTTGAAGACAGCCTGGGGAAGGCAAACTGTGGACAGAATTAAAGTGAAGCCATTGAAGTTTTAAAAGCTGCTTGTCACGTAAGTATATTAGTCACATATATTCTGCTGCCTTCCACCTATACTCCCTAAAGATCCCTTAAGATCATTTTCTTCCCTGCAGCAAACACCTGCCTCCTTAAAATCCATGTGAGACGTGATAAATTAAGATGGGAACATCTGTTTTGTGTACCAAAACCTGCTTTCTAATCCCCCAATTTGCCCTATCCCTGGCAGCAAGCTGCTCCATCCCTTAAAGCCACGTCACCGTAACTCCTTCCTCCTCACACCCTGCCAGCAGCTTATCACTGCGGTGCGGCCTGCCAGACGCCGTCGAATCCGAACGCCGAACGGATGCCACCAGATCTTTGGGGTGAAAAAAACCGGTTTTGGCTCAACTCAAACTCCTGCCTCACTCCCCGCTACCCCATACCCCGGCGGCAGAGCCCCGGGGGCGCAGGCGGACCTCAGCGCAAAGCGAGCCCTGCCCCATCCCTCCCCCAGGTCAGGCCCACCGCGAACCCACGCGTGGCCCGTGTCACGCGTGAAGAACGTCACCCTTCCCCACGCCCCGCCCCTGCACGACCGGGGAGGCGGGGACACGCCGCCCGCCACGGCCTACCCCCACCCGCCGCCTCCCCCCGCCTGTCCGTGCGCCGCCTGCGGTCGCACCTTGAGGTTGGCGGAAGGTCCGGTGGAGGAGCCCGGCGGGGCGCCGATCTCGTACTCGCCCGTGACCAACGTGTCGCGGTGGATCTCCTCTCGCAGGCACTTCCGCGCCTTGCCCGGTAGCTGGAAGGAGATGGGCCGCGCCGGGCCCACCACCACCGCCAGCAACAGCAGCAGCGCTGGGAACGGGGCCTGCCCGAGGCGGGGGCGGCCGGGAAGCGGCAGCGGCATGGCGGCAGCTCCGGGTGCGGCGGGCCGGGCCTCCGCCTCCGGCACACGTGACCAGCGCCGCGCAGCGCGTCACGGCGGGGGCGGGACCGGGGCTGCGTGAGGCGCGTGGCGTGCGCGCAGATGGGGGGGCGGCAGGCGGGTGGCGCTCACCCGGGGTGCGGGTAATGAAGGTAGGTGCTCAGGTGGGTCTGTTTAGGTGTGAAATAAGTTATTAATGGGATGACTTCGTTCATACTGGGTGATAATGATGAACAGTGGTTGCTTTCATTAAATCATTGGTGTAGTGGGAGGTGTCCCTCCCTCAGGGACAACCTCCTACGACAGCCCTGTCGCAGCAGGGTTGGAACTAGGTGCGCTTTAAAAAGCCCCTTCCAACCCAAACCATTCTGTGATTCTCTGACCGAAGAAATAAACCGTGGTGTGAGGCAGAGGAGCGTGCTGAGGATGGACAAGCAACCTGGACTTCATAGAGACTTCCATACAAAGGCCTTCAGCAGTTGCTGCTTAATTTATGTTTGGTGTTGCTTTGGGGTTTGTTTTTGTTTTGTTTTTAGTTTCTGAGGAATCTCCCTCTTCATCAGCCAAGAAGTTAGTTTTATCAGATGCCTCGCTTTGCACCTGCACCCTGCAAAATGCCATTACAGCAGTGGCAGAGGGATGTGTGTGGTTTTGACAGCAGGTAAAATTATGATGATTTTGAGGGATACGCAGAGGTTTATTTTTTTCTCTCCTTTTCCAGCATATGCTCAGGTCTACTCTTTCTTCTTCACTCACAAACCCGTCCCTCCCCATTAGTCTATTTTACTCTTTAGGAACACAGCATTAAGTAACCCATCAATCAGCTTTGGACCACTGTTTCCCCGGCACCTACCACTGGCTCCTGTCCCCTATCAGCACCGCCATGGAGCATGTGCGCAAGTGGGAGAAGCAACTTAGGTTGTGGTTTAACCTGCCTTCGCACAGGGACAGGGAGGAGCAAGCCTTCCCAGGTGTGCAGTTATGATCACCACAGATGCCAACAGCTGGGTGTGCTAAGGTGTAAGGAAATGCAGGAAGAAAGAAACGGTAACATCACTGGAAAATAAAAAGATCTCTTATTTCTGCTAGATTGAGTAAAAACAAAAGTTACAACACTGTTCCACTTGTATTTCATAAACATCACCGGTCCTCTCTCTCCAGGCAAAACATGCCTTTGATGACAAGCAGTTGAAGGAATCAGCATAAGCTTCAATCTTGAGAGGCTTAAAGCAGCAAACTTCATGCTTGGATGTTCATGTGCAGATCCAGACAGGCCACATCACGGCCAGAGCATTTTAAAGAACACTTCTGTGCTTTCACATCCTTGTGCTTGTGTTTACCAAGACAATATGATGAGGCCCTCTGTATGAAGGAACAGAAACTAAGCCCAACTGAACAGTGATGGAGTGACCTCTTTGCCTAAGGGGAAGTGAAGAGAACCCTCAACAAAAAAACCAAACCTCCCAACACAAGACCTTTGCCCTTCATTTAAATGGCATTTTAGGGAAACACAGTTTTTCTTAGCAGAGCATGTGAGCATCTTTTAAGTGAAGGTTGACTGTGCTCAAATATTCAGTTCATTAAGTTCCGGTTTATTGTCTGAAATGGAATTGCTGCTCACTTATTGCACATTTCACGACATCTTTATTTTTTCTAATCAGTTCACCAACTTTTCCTTACTTGGACAATTAAATTATTTGGAAACTTAACCTTAACAAAATAAATATTTAGCTCTTTCTGCAATATGTCAAAATATATTTGCACAATGAAAACATTCTTTCCATTGCAGCACTTAAGGCAGAAATAGCTATTATTTCATAAGCTTTAAGAAACCTAGATTACTAGAATCTAAAGATATGAAATGTTGTAATGTTGTACCACAAGATTCCTGATGCAACATGTACACCACAAATCTCTCCATGAAGAACATTCCTAATGGCAATGATACATACCCAGCCTTCTAGCACAATTAAAACATTCAATGATGCCTTGTTTTCTGGGGCAAATATCAGAGCAAGTGGCTTGTTCATGTTGAAGTAGCCTGATTTTCTAAAAGTGTGAAGTCAGCCATCAAAGAGCAAATATTTAACTGCCTACAATCGCTTCCCATTGTGGCTGTTCTGTCACAGTACATTTTTAGCTCAGTTGTAGCTTCTCTCGTGTGGATGCATTATGCCAGAAACTGCCGCGCAGGCAAGTTCGGATCTAATTATAAAACCCTATCAGAAATGCTTCAGCATGTTGTTAAAGAAAATAGTAGGGAGCTGTTGTGAGCCTCTTCACAGTCCCCAGCTTTTCACTTTTTAAAGCACTTGGGCATGCAATGGGGCAGTCTTCCCTGAGCGTGCACGGTGATCTATAGAAGAGGGAGAGCATTCTAAGATCCTTTCAGCTGCGGGTTTAGAAATAACTGTCTTGCAGGGACATGCCTTAACGTTTCCACATAGTGGAGGCTGGCAAAATGCTTCCCGTAATTCTGAAACACTTAGAGGGGAGAAGGAGAGATTGATAACTTGTTACACAACTTACCAGATGAAGTGATGACCTATTTTAGCCTGGTTGCTGTGTTAAGTGTTGTGGGAGCTTCGCAATGAGCTGGGAGCAGGTATTCGTTTCACTGCCTCTAACCCAGAGACAAATGGGTGTATCCCCAAAGTAAATATTACCCTTTCATCTGCCAATCATGAAACACTGCCAAGATTGAAACCATTTTGTTTGTGTACACCTTTCACATTTCCAAGCACCCCAAATGCAGTTTCACTGCTGTCTTGAAAATGATGGAGAGAGCAATTAATTATTCAGCTTTCAGGCCTGTGTTAACAAAGGAGCACTGGAAATCATCAGGTATCTCTGTAGTTTGGGGCAGCGATGGCCACTGAGAAAAATATGCCCCTTCCCCACAAATAAATAGTTTTTTCTCCAATAGCAAAGAAGTCCACAGAGTGCTGGCAGTAGGCAATTTTTGCCATACCAAAATGCATCTTTTATCTATGGTAAATGCAGAAAACAACACTAACTTGCTGTCTCCATGAAACAACGTGTGTGGATGTGTGTGAATGATGTAGTTAGACTTGGTTTTTGCTGTTTGTGCGTCAGATGCTGTGGCATTTCTGCATTTTCTTCTTTTAGACAATAAAAAGTTAAAACAATTTTCTCCTTAAAAACTGTTCTAGACTTACTTTCATGCTATAATCCTTCTGCCTTCTGCCTTGCACCTGGCAATCCACTACAGGCTACTGGGAAACTTCTATAAAAACTACACAGGCTTTACGATGCTAATGGCTTGTTTTTACTAAGCATGCAAAATTATTCATCCACTTCTTCTGGAAATTGCAAGGCCTCTTCTTTTAAGGGGCTATATTTGAACTCATTGCTGGGATATAACCATCACAGTCACCATCGTGATCACAATCCAGATAGGGATGTTATTCTGTCAACTAAAAATAAGTCAGTGCCTAATGGCCATAAACCAGCATTGTGCTGCTCTGCCTCCCCTGTAATCTCTCCCAGAGACCCCAGGTACCGTGTGCTGTCCGTCAAGCTAAAATATATAGTGTTTGTGTAAGAGGTATGGAAAAAAAACCCGACCTTTAAGGCATCAGAAGCATAAGGTAATTCCTGTGAGGAGAAAAACTATTGTTATAATATATTTATACGTATCTGTTTCCATTTCACCCAGTGACAGAAGTTATTTGTACCTGAAGTAATTAAAAGTCTTGCATGAGTGTGAATGGGTTTTGTTTGAAATCAAGCGTATGGGGCTGGATCTACAACATGAGTTGGTTTAGGGAAATGAAACATCCTCCATCAAAGACAACCCAGGTTCAATCACACCCAAACCACTTTGAGGAAGTGAGCATTCACGATGCTCCTCTCATCTCTCCCCAGCACTCTGCCTGCTGCCAGGCAGGTTGTCAGCTTTCAAGCAACAGCCTTGCAGGCTCACAAGGTTCCCTCCAAGCTTTCTGAGGAAATCTCCCGCTGCACCTCCCAGCAGCTTCCACCTACTGCCTTCCTGGAGCTCAAAGTTCCCATTCCCATGCCCAACAGGCGGCTCCAGCCAAAGCCCTGCTTGTCCCACAGCCCCGCAGTGTGCACCATGCGAGCTCCCCGACTGGCATAGTCCTGATGGCTGCCCTGTCTGAACAGCAGCTGCATTGGGATGAACTTTCTCAGCAAACACCAATAGAGTCCACCTAGAAATCTTCACCCTCTGCAAGAAGCACCTGGCTTATTAGCTCCCCTCAGCATCCCAGCCCCTGTCCTATCCTGCCCTGACCTCTGTGATAAACATGCCTCTGCTCAGGGAGGTGCTGTGTACACAGGCTTTCAAGAAGCTCTACAAAAGGTTGAATTCAATTGTGTTATCTAAGCCACAGCTCTAAAAAAATAAAATAGAGGCTTGGGGTATTGTCAAGTCTTAACAGGCAAACTCTCCAAGTGAAGTCATGCCATTATTTTAATTTCAGTTGTGAAACACAGTGCAAGCTCAGGGCAACACAAAAGAGATTACGTTTCAAGGTTTGGGGCATAACTGCATGGTTATTCTTTCTTAAAGACTAGAGCTGAGATCCACCTGATCCATCTTAGGGGTTGCATCCCCCTTCCAAGCAATGGAGAGAAAGAGGTTATTCTAGAGGAAAAGAAGCTCATCTCACCCTGAAGCAGACATCTAAATCTGGTGAGGTAAATCGCACACCATGTTTCTTCAAACTGAATTGGTGTTGAAATCAAGATCTAATTGGCAGTTACATTGTGTATTGCTCCTCTGTACAAGTCTGAGTGGGCAGTCTCCTCACCCATAAAGCAAATCAATGAAATGGAGAGATAAAGCCGAGCTATAATGAACAGCAGCTTAAGTAAGAGATGGTTGGCCATGCTGACCCTCGCTCCCTGCAGATCAGGTGGAGTTCTCACTCACCTCATCCCTGTCAACCGCTGGTGACCCCCAGGTCAGCTCCAATACCCCCTCAGACCAACTCCCCCACTGTCCTGTCTCTCGGTAATGGTTAGTTAGGGACATGATAGAGGAGAATGGAGAAGCCCGCGGCAGAAAGACAGGACATATTTACTCCAGCACCAAATCTTCACGGGTTAGAGCTAGCCAGAGGACCTTGGGAGAAGACTCACTATCCTTATAAAACATACACTGCCTTTTAAAAACCTGAGTGTTCCAATCAGCCATATATATGCCAATGCTCTTTAACACTGCTGAATTCTTGAACTAAATGCCTTACAGACTCGCTGTCCAATATCTGTGAAGATATTCCCATAAATCCAGTTGCGTTTTAATAACTGAAAGCTTATCTGACATAAAACTTGTCCTCAGTTGTACCTGATGGGAATGCAGCCAAATCTGTTATCAAGGAAGATGGCTGCCCCAGCTGTGGGGAAACAGCAACTGAAATACAGGAATAGGTATGAGAAAAGGCTTGTGGATGAGGGTGTTGAAGTGTAACTCTTCTAAACAACCGTTAGTTAAAATGAGTTGTGACTTCAGTTGCATTTTTAAAAGAGAAATTCTCAATGTAACCATGGAGGGAGACTTCCACATGCTGAAAGGAATGGGAAAAATACCCAAGAATTAAGAAAACATATTCTTGTGTAGGCTTTGCACATGATACCAGGAAGTTTTTACTGTGTAGGAAGCGTGAAGTCTTGTTATTATTCTACTATGGGGATGATTAAACATCAGAAAGGTTTTTTACTAGAAGTTGGATTTCTTCAAGAGCTAATTTTAATTATTCTTAACTTCTCCGCTATTTGACACTTGTATCTCTCTGTTCTCAAGTTTCTCCTTCTTGTACATAGCAATTAAGCACAAGAGTGCTGGGGAGGGAGCACCAAGATAGGAGAGCGTGCTATTCCCTATTTTAAACACAAAATTAATCTCAGCTGTAGCTGTGGAGCTACTGTTTCTGGATTATATTATTCTTGTATCACCTGGTAATACCAAGGACATTTATGCACAGGGACACTATGTATTTCTAAGACATCTTCATGCTAGATGCAATGGAAAGTTCCAAGCCAGGTTTTGCACTGAAGCCAAACCTTAATGAATGCTTCCAAACTGGTGGGATTTTTTTCCAGTTCAGAGCAGCCTTGCTGGTTATTTGGAGATTAACACGAAGAACATTCCTTCACGCAACTCCTCAGAGCGGTCAGCATCTAACGAATGGCTTACTGAATCTAACCTGGTATACATCAACAACAGAGCAGCTGAACGCTGCTCAAGTCACCAGCTCCTGGGAGGAGGCTTGGCAGCAAAGGCAGCAGTTAGATGGGATGTTTATTGGATGTCTTCCACCAGCTGCACTGTGTGGTGGCTTGAGTGCTAGATTATAAATATTTCCCCTTGTGAAAAGGGGAAGTTGGCTGGATGAGCACTGATTCAGCAGGACATATTCATAGCCTCGGCAGAGATTGGTGTTTAAGAAAGCAGGAATGGGAAGCATCGAATTAGGCCTGGGAAGTCCCCTCTCTCCACAGGCACACGAGGAGAGCACTTATCCCTGGAAGCTAGTCAGCATGGCACGTGGGCAACAGGAATATTAATAACTCCTCTACAGCAAGGCTTCTGAGGGGCAGGATGGCTCACCCAAACCACAGCCTCCGTGGCCACGCAGTGCAGATGGGCAACTTCTGCATTGCAGGGTTCCTTCTGCAAAGGCAAACTGAACCGCTGGGTGTGCAGGAGGCACCCCACAACCCAGGGAAGAGGTATTCTGGTTTTTTCAGTGCTGGCCACGGGCAAGAACTCACTCCTAAGCATCACACCAAAGACTGGTGGGCCTTGAGAGCCTTGCAAGAGTGCCGGGCTAGTGAATACCAAAGGCGGCTGACCGTTGTATGTAAGTCTGATACAGAGTGTTATTTGGTGAGCACAAAAAAGGCCTTCTAGCTGGAGGGAATGGAAAACCAGGCAACAAAGATGGATAAGATGGGCAAACGCAGGTTCTCATCTGTCCTGCAGCATGGCTAGGAAGAGATAATAACTATCAAATGGCAAAGCAAGGGGGAAATTTCCTTTGCCATGCAGGAGCCTTCCCTAAAGGAGCAGGTCACAGGTGAGGTGTCAGAGTGGTGGGATAGCTCTGGAGTTTGTCTTGGTGCTGGCTTTGTGCAAGTGGCTCTGACTCACCAGGGCAATTCTGGACCAAGGGGGTTTCCAGGAGCCTGGGGCTGAAATCCCCAGGGATGTTAGTCTAGACAGGGTGCTCTTCCCTTTGACCTCACTGAGGGCCTCAGCTTCCTCTTTATGCAAGTAACACCAGCTGCCAGGACAGGTTATTTAGGGCTACAGAACAGTTATGAAAGAGCGATGTGAGGAGGGTCTGAGGAAGAAGATGCTCCTGTTGTAAGTATCCTTTTCAGACCACAGTTGTGCCAGGCTGCTCCTTGCTACTGCTCACAGGAAACAATTTTTACTCCTGACATCTTCTAAAGAAACTCAAACAGCCTGAGAATGACTCCTTGCCTGACGCTGGGCGAGAGCTTGTAAAATGAGCTCCAATTCCCCCAGGATAACTAGAGGGAAATCCCAGTCATTAAAGCTTTTGTCAAGTGACGTAAGAGGAGTTGCAAATTAATCCTGCTCTCCATTCATCTCATCCCAGCAGAGATCCCGATAGTAAAAACCAGTCCTCCAACAGCCCCAGGGGAATCCCAGACTGCATCATAGTGCTCTCCTGCCCTTGTATGCAATGCACACGTCTGATACTCGATGTTCGTGTTCATTCTTTCATCCCTCAAGAGTGTGTAGGAGAGGGTATGGGCTGGGTGTGAGTGTGGTGGAAGCACCAAAGGCTTTCCATATTCCATGCCATGGATGTGTGCGACCCTCTCTCTTCTTTCCGAGCAGCTGGTCTGTGGCTGCCTCACCTGCCTTTGGCGTCTCCTAACTCTTCAGGAACAGCCAGCATGGTCTGACAGGGGATGACCTGTGGCTTGTAAGGAAGGGATATGCTGTGGGGGCCCTTCTGGCCTGTCCCGTCCTTGCTAGTCCCTTCCATCTCTGTCTTCTCTGCTCCCTCAGAGGCTGTCTACTACTATTAAACTGAGTCAAATGAAGGAACCTGGTCATCTGGGCAATCAGGATGAATGCCCTTGACCCAGGTGTGCTGTGGGTGCCCACACGTCCTGCAGCCTTGTCATGGGCCAAAGGAGAAGAAGATAATAGAGAATGCAGGAAGACGCTGGTTGTTCTGCACCTTATGGCTGACATCTGGGTTGCAGGGCAGTTGCTCAGAACTCAGTGAGATAAGATAGCAGGCAGGGATGGATACTCACTAAACAACGTCCCCAGGGAAATGTGAACAACTTCCAGCTGGCCTCACAGGCTGAGGGCAAGACTGAGTGAGGAGGGATCCACGGCATGACGCAGATCCCTTTTCCCATCTGATCCTGTCTCCCCCATCAAGCTATTCAACTCCAGGAATTCTGTGTGGTTTTGGGGGAGGGAGGTTGAGTCCAGCATGAGGAGCCGCTGCTGTGGCTGCCTAGCTCACCTCTTGCCATCTTGCTATATATATCTGCAATTCCTGTTTCCAGGAGCTGGCTGGGATCTGAGCCACCTCTTCAAGAGCAGAGGTATCCAGCACTGTGGCATGACACTGGCAGAGCTCCAGGGGCCAGGGCAAAAATTACCTTCACAAGTGGGCACATATCCCTCAGACCAGGAAAGCAAGTTTAAACCTTTTGGCCTTTTTCTATTTTTTTTATTATTATTTTATCAGTTGCTTTTCCATAAATAAAGAATAATAAGGAGATTTTCTCCAGGGCTCTTGTCATCTTCAGTGTCTGACTTGCTCATCTTCCCAAATCCTTACCTTGTCAGCTGAATGCGAATGGAGAACATTAGCCCCAGAGAAGAGGATGAGACACCAAAGCAACCACACAGACACAAAGACATCAGGGAAGGATACGCCCAAGGTCACGGACTGGGTCAATGTCACAGCATAGTGGACAATCACATCCCTGGCTCCCTCTCCTCTGGTCAGACCCGCAAACCAGACAATAAAAATCAAAGCCAGTGAATACAAAGAAAAATCTGAAGTTAGACATTTCCATCTGCGTGTGCTTTGGACAATGACACTATTATTTCTACCTAGTATTCAGAGGCTTTGAGCATGTGTCATCCAGGAAAGGCTCAGCCCTTATCTGGGTCTCTGTACGGGGATGTAGGTGACTGTTTTCCAGCTCCTAGCCTAGGCTGTTTGCTGGCTCTTTTTCCCCGTTAATTTCTTTCTGAGCTCCACACTGTTTTCTGAACCAGCTTTTCACCCTCCAGTGCTACCGAGCCTGGGGCTCCACCGGGATGCAAAGTCAGCAGAGGCAGAGGGGGGCTGGCCAGCTCTGCGGGTCGCCTCCCAGGGAACAGCCGCAGCTCTGTGTCCCAGCCCACGGAGGCACGTTTGCTCAGAGCTCTGGCAGCTTTCCCACCCCGGCACTCCCCTGCTTGGGGTTTGGCCCTCTGAAACGTGTCAGTGGAGAGCTGAGCCTTGGGAGAAGCCCTGCTCCAGCGCCGGTGGTGTCTGCGGCAGCAAGGCGAGGGTCAGCTCAGCGCCGAAGCCTGGTTTGCGTGTGAGCGCTCAGCCTGTGTTCCCAAGAGGCAGGGGCGAGGCGTGGAGCGGTCCCAGAGCTCCTTCAGTAAGCCGTGCACCCCGCCGCAGCCCTCTCTTCCACACATCCATCCCCTGCGACCACACACTAGCCTCACTGACGGATTTTACTTGAAAGCTCTGGCAGGCTGTGCCGCTAATGGCAGAGCCCAGAGCCGGCTCCCCCTGTCTCCCTGGAGTCCCTGCGCAGACGTAGGTGCACGTCACCGACTGCTCTAATTTTATCCATGTTTGATGGCAGAGACGAGCTGAGCAGCAGGGTGGCAGCTATTTTGGTTTTCTCTGTGGCTGTGGGTTATATAAAGCATCCTGCCATGACCTGCGTCGCGCGGGAGCTGCTTCACTTTCCCTGTCTCAGGCACCACGAGACGGTGGCTCGGATGCTCGCTCCCAGCAGCCGACACCTCCACACGCGTGGAGGCTGCGTGGTCCCGGTGTGCCATGTGTACAGAGGGAGCATGGCAATGAGATCCAAGGGCAACCATCCATCCTCCTTGCCACGCGGTGTTGGATGCACTCAGGGGGTTCACCCTTTCCCCTGCCTGCACATCACATGTACTCCGTGCCAGCGTGGACACAGGCAGAGCCTGCCTAGGGCTGGGCGAGCCTTGGCCTGCCAGTGCAGAGCACTGCTGCTCTCATTTCACCCGGGCCCCAGGAACAGCTCCATTAGGTGGCAGCAGCCACAGCAGGCGCAGCAGGAGGCTGGTCTCCCTATGGGACCTCTGCGGGTGTGCAGGAGGCCAGTGGGGCCATGAAAGAACCTCGCACAGCCAGCCCAGCACCAGGGCGCTGGGAGCCAGGCAGTGTGCTGGGAGAAATGGGGGGGGGGGCTCCTGCCCTCACTGCCCTCACTGCCCTCACTGCCCTCACTGCCTGGTGCTCTGGGGTACCTTGGTCTGACACTGGCAGAGCCCCCGTGAGATCCCAGGGGCTGACCTCCTGCACATACCGCATGGTAAGCAGCCAGTGGCGATCCTGTCCCGTGCTGCCTGACCACAGTGCCCAGCCTCCACGCAATAGCTATTTCCCAACTGGGGGGAGTGGAGGCATTACACAGGGCTCCTCGCCTGTGGGGCCTGCAGCTCCTCCACGCCTGGCCCTCCCATGCTGCGGCTTCGTCAGTGGTGCTCCGGTGCCAGGTGCCAGGCTGGCAAGGCAGGGCATCATGCCAGTTTGGGAATTTTTGGCAGGAGGCAGCATGACCAGGACTCCTTCCTCTGTCTGGCACGGGCAGGGTCTGCCGACATGCTAGAGCTCACTGCCTGGAGGGAGTTTTGGGGAATGCCTCTTGCTTTTGTTTCTTGCGCAAGCAAGCAAATTTAATAGTACAATGTGGATTTGAAAGCTAAAGTAATTAGGACGTGTCACGATGCCGACTGGCACCTCCCTGCTCCTCCACTCTCCATGTACAGCTCACGCTGTGCCCAGCTCCTCTGCTGACTCATGTCGAAGCCGCCTTCTCCCAAACGACTGGGGGGTCAGGCCAGGGCCCAGCCTGCTCCATGGCTTTCCTGGTTCCCACACAGTTCCCGCTGGGCCTCCCATGGCCGCACTGGCGGGACGCACCCACTTCCTAAAGAGTCACCTCCTGGGAACACCACCAAGCCTCTGCGGCGGCCACGGCATCCAACATCCCTCCATGGGCATGTGTCCGCCTGAAAGCTGTGCCTGCTGCCTGGCCGCTCCTGGGGTGCAGGATAACCCACAGGGCAAGGGGGCTGTGGTCCATGTACAACCACCACCCACCCACCCAAGGAGCTGCTGGCTGGGCTGAAAGAGCTGCCTCCTTGGCATCTTCCCAGCAGGACCCATATCCGTCTTCCTCCTGCATCCCGCACTGGTGCTTGGAGTCCCATATCCCACAGCACGTCACCACATCCCCTTTTCCAGCACACTCCCCGGGGCAGGCCCTTGGGAAATGGCATGCCGGAGGAGGGATGGGGTGTGCGTGCAGGAGCGTGCATGTGTGCACGTCAGGGAGAAGGAAGCAGGGCTGTGAGTGCTGGAGGCGTTGTGAGCGCCAGGCACAGGCTGACAGGCGAGGGCTGCCGCTCCCGTAGGAAGTTAAACTGTTTCACAACAGTCATGATCACAGCTAGCGGCTCACTCCAAAGCGTTCCTGCTGCTGGGGAGGAAAAGGGCAATCAGCACCAGGAAGATGAGTGTTACCCGGCTTGGGATATGGGGGAGAATCTTGAAGATTATGCAGATGGATTTGAGGTGTGTAGAAGGAGAGGATTTGCGTAGAGAGCACAGCCGCTCCATAAGCTCCTGTAGCGCTGGTCAGGCAGCGTGTGTTCATGGTGTGATGCTATTATGCAGCCCCCTGTGATACTGCTGTGGATGCACCTCCCTGTGAATGCTGCCGGGGGGGGGGTCCCCACCCCCCCACCCCGGCCAGAGCCGCTGAGCTCCAGCCCTCATTAAAGCCTGTCCCAGTGAGGCCATTCAGTAAATATTTGATCCCGGCTTGGAGCCAGGCTTTCCAGGTAACTGGAGTCCTGTTAGCTTGGGGTCACCTACGTGGCCATGGGCTGTTCAAAGAGGCCCAAGCAATCTCAATTCCTCAGCACTCTCCCACATCCTCTCTTCTGTGCCAGTGCATCACTATGCACCGCTGCTTGGCAAACCAGACCCAGGAGTTGATCCAGCAGAAAAGCCAACGTCTTTTGTTTTGCAGGGGTTATCTGTCTGCCAGCACAGCTCATCACAGGGCTCCGGAGCAGCACCGTGCACCACAGCTCGCTCAGGAGGCACCGCCTGTTCCTCCCAGGTTTGGATCACCTGATTTAGAGGGAGCTGAGCAGCACCGCACCCTGCATCATGCTGGCACATGATGGGCGAGTGCCCAGCCACCCAGGCTTCAGCTCTGCCACAGTCCGAGCCCAGCTGCCATAGGCTGGCTTTTCCCACTCCTCCTGGCACAGCACCCAGCCTTTGCCCTGCACTGGTTGCTGACTCCTGACTTTGCTCATAGCCATTTCACCTTGCTGAGCTGGTGGATGACTGATTGACAGCAAGCAGCAAAAGGTTTTCTGCTTGGGGCAGCAGTAAGGAGCAGGAATAGGGTCCCAAGTGAGGAGGGGCAAGCTCAACCCATGGCAAGTCTGAGCAGCAAGTAGCCAAAGATGACCTCCAGCCTTGTGAAACAGTGCTCTGTTTCCAGGCAGGTCACCTGTCTGAACTGGCTTGTGTGCCCCTATGGTGAGCACAAGGGAAAAAAATAGGTGGCTCTCGTGGGAAGTAACAGGGATAACACAGGGACACTCTCCTTATACCCCAGATCTCCAGCCGCTTGCTTTCATGCTGTGTCACTGCTCAGCTGGGCCTGAGTGCCGCCAGGCAGGGCAGGTTTGGGAAGGGGCAGGGCTGGGTAACTGGAACTGCTGCCATGCATTGAACTCTGTCCTCTGCCCCACTGCTCCTTCCCTTGTCCTCTGCCCTTATGCCTGCCTTCCCCTCAGGTGAGGGCCTGTAGCAAGCGAATGCACACCCCAGCCCTGGCAGGGTCACAGACTGTCAGGATTCAGCACTGGGGCGACCTGGTTGACTGAGATAAGGCAGGAGTCAGTGAGGAGGAAGACACTGGGCTAATTGGCCTCTGTGGCTCCCTGCAGTCTAGGAGCTGTAAGCACCCGTGCCAGGAGCCCTGCTGCCTGTTCCCTGGGATGGGGCCAGAGGGCAGACAGCCTGTCCCAGGAACAGGGGAGCAGCACGAATAACTAGCTGCACTTTTTCTTCCTGACTTCAGCATGAAACATGGAGAAACCATCCCCCTTACTATGGGTACCTGGACGTCTGCCTGGACAAGGTGCATCGCAGATGGAAATGGAGAACACTCCATGCGCCAGTGTCAGTAGAGGTGCTGCCTGGGTCAAGGGCTGGGGGAGGGTTCACATCCTGGTGGGACATCCCTCTGTCTGGCCTCAGTCACCCCAGTAGATGACTTTGGGCACACTCTGCACTACAGCTGGCCAAACGCCAGGTGTGATCCCTGCCTTTGGACATCTACCCACCCCTTTCCCACACGGCTGGTGGTCCCCGTATGCCAGTGACCGAGCACCCAAAGCACGCAGGGAGCTGCCGTGACCATGCAGAAGGTCTTTTCTCACGCCCGGTGATTACCTTTCCAAACACAGGCACTTCAGGCTTGCCCTTGAGAAGCAAACACTAATTTCAGCCGCACCCTTTCCTGCCCCGGGGCTGCAGGGCAAGGGTATCCTCAATGTACACCGTGTTCACCAGTGAGGGGTGTGGGACAGGAACCAGCCCTCATAAAATTGCCCGGATTGAACCTGCTGCTCTCTGCCTGCCAAACCAAACAGAGCTGATGTAAAGCAAGCAACAATGACAACAGCCTGGCTGCTGGCGAGGGTTGGGCAAGCAGCTGGTTTCCAGTTTGCTGGCCTCAGCAGATGGTGGCGGCGGGAACAGGCGCTGGGAGTTCCCACCCCGCAGGCACCCGACACCGTGCCAAGGCCAGGGCGGACCCGAGGTTCCCTCCTCTCCCATCTGCCTGCGGCACTTGTGCAACCCCCGGTGTGAAGACAGCCTTTGGGTTTGAGGGGAGCCCCAGCTGCTGTGACACACACACACCGGCCGTGGCGTGGGGGGAGATACCAGTGTGTGGGTGCCCTCCCACCCCACTCTCCTCGACAGCATTTCACCTGGGAGGGCTTTGGCTGCTGTGTGTTGCAGGGGAGGAAGCTGATGTCAGAGGAAGGGACACCCAGAGCACACCCAAAGGCTGGCAGCTGGGCTGGAGGCAGGGCACCGGGAGTGGGGCTCCCTGGAGCAGCCTGTGCTGCCCTGGCACACAGGGAGGAGAATTTGGTCTGTCTGGCCTCTGCTGGGTACCACTGCTGCAGGTTTCAGGAGCACACGCTGGCCCCAGGCAGCTGCTGGGTGGTTTTGGCAGAGCAGGCTTTGCAGAGGATGCTGGTGGGATGGACCTGACCAGTCCTCACGAGATGGACCAGAACACACTGCAACATCTGTGGTTCACTTTTTTGTTCCATTCTTTCTGTTTTGAGGCCACATTTCTGAGCGTTGCTGGACACACACTTCACATGCACACCCCACTCAGCACCCCAGGCAATAAGCATGGCAGGCCTGTGGCACATGCGTGTGCCTGTGTGTGCAGAGGTGCAAGAGCTTGTGCCTGGCTCCTTTCAGAGCAGTGCCTACAGCGTGGCCGCTGGCCAGCCATCCGTCCATCCAGCCGTCTTGTCCATGCATCTGGCTAGCTGTCTATCTGTCCATTCTTCTCAGCTCTGATCCTGCCAGGCTGTTAGTCCCACAGTCAGGCTCCCCAGAGCAGTGGGCTGCGCAGCTGGTCCAGGTTAAAAGTAAATACCCCTTTCCAGCAGGGTTACTTTTAACCCCGGGCCCTTCTCAGTTTCCAAACCCCTGCCCTCCTGGCCTGATGCCTGAAGAGG